TGGTGGATGGTTACTGGTAATATAACAAAAACGAAATTCTTTCCAATGTATAGCCGCCCAGTTCGACTGCGCGACTGTTTTTAGGCAGCAAATGTTGGTGTGATTAGTAATTTTCGCGATATTTTTTAAAACGCGCGGACAACATATGTTCATAACTCTATATGGTGCAGCAGCTGAAGTAACACTGGCTACTGGCTAGGCTTTAATATTGGCCACTCGGCCGAAAAGCGGGGCGAAAATACTATTTTTCAGCTCGCTGGAAATTCAATTTTAAGTATAGGACGCTATGGAGAATTTATTAGTGGTTGTTCTCTGTCCCGCTGAAAAAGATGTTATCGGAAATTTCACATTTTGCTAATTATTAATGACTCGAAGTGGTGCGGTGGCAGTAAATTTTCAGCTAGTCCTTCTCGTGCCTACTGCAGTGCAGAATGTCGGTAGGGTGTCATTTATTGTGTAGATGCGCTAAAGTTGGACTCGAGAAGTTAATGTGTGAGTTGAGAACAAATCTGGGTTTCTCTCTTGTCTGTTTGTGTCTGTCTATATTCCACCGTAATTGCTCCATAATTGCCCCGTTCGTCACATCTTAACACAAAACCAGTACTCGGCTGTCTCGCCGAGTGTGACCTCGAGAAGAATTTTTTGGCGAAATCTCATCTTCGTTAAACTGCTCGAAGCTGCACAAATGCTCATAAATTCGTTTAAGTCGCATCTCGGCCTTGAGTGGGGGGACGCTATATGGCCCGTGGTGTGCGTAAACTTTGATCGGAAAGAGTTGCGGTAGCCTCTAGCGAAAAAAAAGAAGGCAGTCGGGAAGTATTATTGTATTGTAGCTCGTCGCATTGCGTGTAGCGATCCCTGAAACGATACGCGTAGTTTAAATTCTTGCGTGTCTGATGCGGGTATCGGTTAGAACTAGAGTTGCTTGTGGTAAGGCAATGTTGGCTCAGACAGTATCAAGAACTAATAATAGCTATATGGAGCTAATAATAGGCTAATAACTTATAGCTAATAGTTAGAGCTAATAGCTAATAGAGCTAATAATAACTCTTAACAGTACTTATAGCAGAGCGGCGGAAGACAATCGGTTAATTCGCACTAACTGCTGGAATATTATTGGAACAAAATTATCTAGTATTATTCCTAATATTATAGTATATGAATATATAACAGTATTATTCCTAGTATTATTACAGCCTAATTATTCCTATTTAGGTTTTACCGTCACAACTGTTGTCACACACAGACGTTACGTAACGATTACAAGGACAACGCCGCGGGCCAGTAGAAGTACTAAAGATAATAGCTAGTTAGAATTGATCCACAGTTAATGCACCGTTATATAGGTCGCATCCCCTGAACAAGACCGCACCCATATGAAACAAGGTTAACATAGGTGACTGGTTTGACTATTGAATGTGATGGCTTATATAAGACGGAGATACACGTATATGCAAAGTTATTCGCGAGCGATGCACGAGGATGCACGGTAGAGACACGGAGGTTTATATAAGATTCTAGCAGATAGGGGCCCAGTCGCAGCGGGGTTGTACCGCTGGCAAAACTCCAAAGACACCGCCGCTATGACCACCTTGATAGAATAGAGCCAGATTCCAAACTCATTAGACTCGTTACTCAGCATTCAAAGCTTGTACACTCGTGTCTTCCCGCCCCCACACACTTTCGTGCCAACTATTCTGTGTGCCCGACGTTGCTTCTCAACCAGAACACCCATAGACCAGTATCATATAGGTATCATCTCCTGGTATCATATAGGTATCATCATTAGGTATATATAGAGTATCTCTCTCGGTATCATATAGGTATCATATAGTATATCATATAGGTATCATCTCCTGGTATCATATAGGTATCATATAGGTATATCATATAGGTATCATCTCCTGGTATCATATAGGTATCATCTCCTGGTATCATATAGGTATCATTCCTGCGCTATCAGTATAGGTATATCATTATAGGTATATCTCCTGTATCAGTATAGGTTACATATAGGTATATATATAGGGTATCTCATAATAGTATATCAATATAGGTATCATCGTCCTGGTACATATATGTATCATCTCCTGTATCATATAAGGTATCACGTCTCCTGGTATCATATAGGTTCATATAGTAATATCATATAGGTATCAATGATTAGGTATCATCTCCTGTACCTGGTATCATATAGGTATCATATATCATATAGATAGAGTTACGCGCCGACCTACAATAAATTTTATCACCGCGCGTTCGCCCAGTGGTTTCCACTGTCGCTGGTTCTGCCCCGACCTCGGGGGTGGGAAGCTGTGGGCAAATGGTAGGTGTATATAGAGTTAGGGTAGACGGCATTGCGGATAAGTTTATGGAGCCAAGGGCGGCGGTCCGAAAGGGGTTGAGAACCAGCTCCTATGTGTCCGATGTAAAAGCTCAATTTATAAAGAGTAAACAGACAGCCAACATACATAAAAAACAGCAAAATAGATCAATATATAAGACATAAAAACATAACTCAAGCACAGAAGTCAGAACAGATTATAAAATATCTAAAGATAGTAGAACTGAGCAAGGGTCCCCTTCCTCCCCCTGCTCTCTCTATAGCTCTCTCTGTCTCTCTCTTTCTCTCTCTCTCTCTCTCTCTCACACACACACACACGACACACACACACACACACACACACACACACACAACACACACACACAACGGCACGCCACACACACACACACGGCACACGACATGCACACGCACACCTCACACAACGCCCACGCGCGCGCATCACCACACACACACACACACTCTCTCTCTCTTCTCTCTCTCTTCTCTCTCTCTCTCAACACACACCACACAACACACACACACCACACACCACACACCACGACACACACCACACACCACACACACACACACACACACACATACATGAACACAGCCTCTCTCTCTCTCTCTTCTCTCTGCTCTCTCTCTCTCTCGTCTCTCTCTCTCTTCTCTCTCTCTCCTCTCTCTCTACGCTCGCTTTCGCTCTCTTTCTTTCTTGGTCTGTTTGTGTCTGTCTATATTCCGCTCCCTTCCACCGTAATTGTCCATATTGCCGCGTTCGCACATCTTAAAACAAACAGTACTCCGGCTGTTCTCGCCGAGTGTGACCGTCGAGAAGGGAATTTGTTTTCGTTAAAACTGCTTCGAGCTGCACAATTTCGCTCATAAAATTCGGTTAAGTCGCATCTCGCCTTGTGGGGGGACGCTATATGGCCCGTGGTGTGCGTACACTTTGATCGGGAAAAAGTTGCGGTAGGCCTTCTTAGCGAAAAAAAAAGAAGGCAGTCGGGCTAAGTATATATTGTATTGTAGCTCGTCGCATTGGGGCTGTGTAGCGATCCCTGAAACGATACGCGTAGTTTAAATTCGTTGCGTGGTCTGATGCGGGTATCGGTTAGAACTAGAGTTGGGTTGTCGGTAACGGGAATGTTGGCTCAGACAGTATGCAAGAACTAATATAGCGTATAGGAGTGAATAACTAGCTAATAACTTATAGCTAATAGTTAGAGTTAATCAGGCTAATAGAAGCCCAATAATAGGCTAATAACTTATGAGCTAGATAGTTAAGAGTTAATACTCATAGCACTAGAAATAGCTCTTAACAGTTGACTTAATACGCAAAGGGACGCGAAGACAATCGTTAATTCGCCACTAACTGCCATGGATCATTCATATGGAACAAAATTAATCTAGTATTATGCCTAATATTATAGTATACCGAATATATAACAGTGTATTCCCTAGTATTATTACAGCCCTAATTATTCCTTTAGGTTTTCCCGTCGCAAACTGTCCTGTCAACACAGGACGTATAGCGTTAACATTACAAGACAAAAGCGCGGGGCCAGTAGAATACTAAAGATAATAGCTCAGTAGGTATGATCCACAGTTAATTGCACCGCTTCGTCAAGTACCGCATAATGGTGCATATTCTACTCTCGTGTGAGACAACAACCGTACTGCGTTCAAGCACTGTCCATTCGCATGAAACTTAAGACGTTTACAGTTCTTAGCGTGAAGTTGCTGAGGTTTGACTACTGAATGTGATGGGATCACATATAATCAAGACGTAGAG